TTTTTCTCGTGCCGGCGAATTTGTTCGGCGTCTTGTTCTTCCAGTGTACACATGTATACATATAAATATACATATATATATATATATTAGACATACATTCATACGTACACATACGCATACACGATTATAAGTTAACAAAAAATAAAAAAATACATACATATATATTTGTATATGCAAAAATATGCATATATGGTAACGAATGTATAAATTAACAAAAATCAGCGATCAAGCCGACTCTCGACATAAGTCTCGACACGAGGAAGGTTTTCTAATCGATATCGAGAAACAACGAAATATCGATCGTCGCGAATTTGTTTAGAAACAAATTTCTCATGTAATATGAAAGTCATATTATGACTGGTTATCGAGATAAATTTCAATAATTTTATATTTTAAAAATATTATTGATTGAATTAGAGTTCGTTTGTAAATAATTTATTTTAAATCGATCGTATAGTAATCGATCAGTGATTGATCGTGTAAAAAGTATAATGTTCAATTCCATATTAAATTTGATCTTTATTTCTATTACTTTGATTATCAATCGACTGTTTTATTTGACTGATTAATATTTATATAATTAAAAGAAATAGAGTAAAAATTTCGATTTTAGGTTTAATCGATATATATTCGCTTTTTATCTTTTATATTTTTTCATATTAGTTTTATTCACTCGGGAATAAAGATTTTATACCTAGCTCATTATATTTTATTAAATTAATAAAATTGCATTTAGCAATGAAATGAAATTTCAAATCAATTTGTAATGTTTCTAATTTTTACAAATATTGGAAAGTAGAATCTAACCTAAAAATAAAATTGTTTTGAATTATTTATAAATAAATTTTGAGAAATGCATATTTATTTTTAATGATAATTTTAATATTGACCAAGTGGATATGAATCTTTTATACAAAAACAAATATTTAAAATAAAAATTTTCTATTATTTTCAAATTCGTAAATATACTTTATAATATCTGCATTAAAGTTTTCTATTTTCAATATTAAACTTTTTGTTTTTATAATTCGAATACTAAATTATTTATAATTTATATTATCTAATTTTATGCACTTTTTTTTAGAATTCAAAACCAATTTATATAATTTGCTTTGTTAGTATACAAAGTAAAACATAACCTTTTATAGTAATATATACCTTTTGTAGTAATAGTGAACATTCAAAATAATTCTTTGCATTACAAACATGATTATATATTAACTTAATAATAATGAATTTAATTAAATGTTATTAAGTATTTAATATTAATTAAATAGTACTTGATTCCATTAACTTTTTTTTTCTTACAAGCTTATGAATTTTTATACGATAAATATATATTTTAAGACAAATGAAACGTGAGGTTAAAAGTCAGAGAATCGTTCATTGATCGCATTGTAGTTACGATCGATGTTTTTGTTTGAAGTTTTGATAAATTATTGATAAAAAGTTTAGAATGAGTTAAATTTAGACTGTGAAGGTGAAAGAAGCCAATGATTTCTAATAAATTCTAATAAATTTTAATGAAGTATACGGAGTAGTGTAGAATAAAGTATTATTCATAACCTTTAAAGGTGAGTTAACCTTTAACAATAAGTTATTCTTTATAATATTTATATTATTAAAATCTAAATTTGATAAAAAAATTTGTTAAAATATCATTAACTATTCAAAGATTATAATTATTATTGATTTTGTTTTATGAAAAATTTTTAGAATCCCAATGAAATTAAAATATACTTTTCGCGAAGAATCAAAATAACCTATTTTAAAATTTTAGAAATTTATTTATCAGAAATTAACTTTTATGGTATTTTATATTATACAATTTTGATTTTTATTTTTCACTCTAATTTAATGATATGTTACTCGTTTAAAAAAAAAAAAAACAGAAAGAACTCATTCGTTTCCTTCAGCCAACACTATCATTGTTTAAAGTTTGCCACCTGTATTTTATTAACATTCGATGTTGATTTATACAATATCTTATTTTTTTTTATTCAATTTTATTGAAATATATCTCGTATCGGATATTAATAAAAAATAAAAAAAAAAAACGAGAAAAGAAAATGTCAACTAATTCGATCGAGCTTTTTCAATTGTTCATTATTTGAATATTTAATCAAATTTTCTTTATCGAAATTTAAATTTCTATTTTTTTCATTCCTTTAACAATATCGACGAAAGGTAAGCTGAAAATCAGTTACAATAAATAAATTTTTAACGACATATATAAATTGGCTCAAGTTTATACGATCGCTTTTCAACACGCACGGTTAAGTCTTTTTTTTTTTTTTTTTGTTTAAGAGCATATTTCATATAGTTTATAATCAGACGCATCGCTTTGACGCATCGATCCAACGTTATACATATGTAAAAATGGCAAAAAACCGAATCGTTGATATAAGGCAATGTATGATCCGAATTTCAAAGGCAAAAATATTAAAGAACGAAGAATTTTCTCGATCTCGCCGATTTAGCGATCGTTTGAGCGTACGTTCGATCAATAATACATGACAATTATGAGTGAGAATACTTTGTAGTCTCAACAATATTGAAAAAGTACAAACCGGGTTGACTAGTTATGATAGACGGATGGAGAAGATAAAGTCCCATTTTTGTGATCCTTTTTCAATTCCGAAACAGAAAATCAAGAAAGAGAATTTTCTTGGAGAATTTATTTCTGTTGACCAGGCTCTTTGATCACGGGACTTTTTTTCTCTCATTTTTAGTCTAGTCACAAATGTAGCGACATATCTCGCGTGACAGTTGCAGGTGATTAATGTCGATAATATCGTTACCTATACACAAGTATTATCATCATCATTATCATTATCATCATCATCATTATGATTATGCGTCAAGTAGTATTATCATAATATAGAACATGCCATTAG